TCAGTGGTGTAGCTGGACGCTGCCTCGTGTCTTGCAGGATGAAGGTGATGTGTGAACTAGAATGATTTCCAGTAGTGATTCCGGACCTGCGTCAGCCAACAGCTCCTCCTGGCTGAGGATGTGTAAGAGCGCGTTGAACAAAAGTGCAGGCCTGGTCCTCATAACGGGGTTGCTGCCTTCAGGGGTTACGTTGGCCATTCTCTAACAAGTGGCCCCAAATTGCCCTCTGGTTCAGCTTTTACCCCTCAAATTGCTAGAGGTCATAGCTTCTTGCTGAAAACAGCTAAGCACCATAGATCACCTCTTTGCTCAGGGTCACGGGGTAGAAGCTTAGTGATCCCCTTAAATCTAAGAGTTCCTTCTTCTACATACTTAGGAATCAGGGTATCACGAATGACTAAAACTGTACATTAACCTACTTACTTCTACTGCAGCCAACAGTTTCAAAGGAATCTAACCAAAAGTAGGCCAGAGCAGGAGATCAGGAACCTCCACAAGGCACCAACATGGCCACCTCCAAAGACCGCAGGCCTTGTGGCTGCGTTGTGCTCTTGCTCTGTTCTGTGCTACTTTCTGGACTACGAAGACACAGAAGGTCACAAGCAACAGTTGCTTCTCCTGAACTATGCCTAATTTAAAATGGGTGGCATTAGATTGGTAGCGACAGAGGCACAACGGTTAACACGTTCACGACAGGTGAGCCACAAGTCTCGCTGCCAGACAGCTCGGTCCCATCGGGTGGCATGGGATATTCTCATCATGTGGTTCAAGCTGCCAGAAAGGTGATGGATTAGGCACAGTATTCTGAAGTGAGGATACGCTGGTTCACAGTGAGAAAGGCCTGATCATATATTAAGACCCTAAGGACAAGGTGTGTCGGTTCTACACAGGAGCCTCCCACGAACAAAACGGCTCAGCGTGTCCTAACAGGCTGCCCTGTAGGCAGCTCTCTACACGTGGACATTCCCTCTTTGAAAAGACTGCTTTTTCACAGAACTGAATCTTGATGGAAACAGCCTCTTGAAGAAAATCTTTGGTGACTTGAGAACTATAAGCTCCAGAGTACACATATACAAAGACTGCCAAGTCTACCTGTAAATAAAGACACAGCTGGGCGTTGTGGCGCAAGCCTGTAATTCAGCACTCTGGGAGGCTGAGGCAGAACGAGCAGTTTCAGCCCAGCCCAGGCAACCTGGTAGTACCCAGTCTCAAATGTTTTGAAAGGATCGGAGAGGGGCGTGTCAGTGCTTTCTTGTTGTAATCCCAGCAAGCACTGTGGGAGAAAATAAAGCAGGATTCCAGTCTGAGCCCAGCCTGGTGACCTAGTGAGTCAGGGAGACCCTGTCTCAGTAAAAGGGAGAGAGACTGGGGAGGTTAGCTCAGCAGGAAGGCCCTGGGTTCAATCCTTAGTACTGCAAAAAGTGCAAAGATGTGAATGGAGATTTAATATTGTATATGTACTAATATTTTTTTATTAACATTGCCACTGTTTCTATTTAGGGTTTGGTTCTAAGTTTAGTTTTCTCACTCTATCGTTCCCTACCAACTCTTGGCTTTACTGTGATCCTGAGAACTCAGATCCTCAGGAGTATGTACTCAGCATTACAGCAGACCCAGGTATGAGACTCAGTCCATGCCCCTGGGGCTTAAAACTAACTGGAGTTACAAATCCATTGGCAGAGTAGGGTCAGTTCTAGGGCTGCTCTAAGTTAATGCATCCCACTCCTGTGTCTGTGCCCAGGATCAAGTCATTTCTATTTCTCCCTGTGGCAGTCTATACTATTTTGCTGCTCAGTCACTCTCAAGCTTCAATGCACTTGGATCCTAAATGTTCTTCCTTTGTTCAAAAGGAAGAATTCTTTTCCTACCAAGTAAGTTCTCCCTCTTCCATGTATGGTGCTCTGATTTTCAATTGCTTGTTCTATGCTGTCCTACACTGTAGCCCACTAGACCACAGCCCCAAGGCTTGCTCCATTTGGAATGTGTGGTCCCCTATCCCACTCATTCAAAGCCAATTCCAAATGATCCACATTGGATTTGAACCCCAGAGTACCTCAAAACACTTTTATCTTACTGTGCTTTCCTTTTCATCAGTCATAACCTCCTCCACTAACAGAGTATGTTTGTACAGTGCAGAAACCATCTCTGCATTTACTGTTCAGACTCTGCTGTAGCAAATACATTCAGTGCAACGCGTTTCTAGTTATCTACTTGTATTGTTATCTTTGCTACCCAAGCACAGTGTCCCAGTTACTCTACATACGGTAATTTGTGGCCTTTTCTGGAAGCTCAACTATCAAAAATAAGGGTGGTTCCCCACAGAAATAATTATCTAGAAAGGTTGGTCAGATAAACAGAAGACTTAAAAACCTTGGGCTCAAAAGGCTTCCATGACCTTGGGACAAGTTACTCTTGCTAATTTCTTGCTATACAAATGCTAACAAGACTACAAAGGAGATTTCAAAGCCAGCAGGAACCACAGAGATCCTGTCTCAAAAAGAGAAAATCCTCTGTATCAGAAAAGTTAATAAAATTGATGAATGTTAAAACAAAAAAATGAATGCTAACACTTATATACCTCAAAGAAAGGTATATACGGGAAAGGTAACACGGGAAAAATATAAAGCTACTCAAAAGAAAATGAGTCCACTGTTAGAACAACCTTCTTTCCTTAGAACTACTTGTTCTAAAGTTAAGGACTTACTGAGAACGCGTCCCTTCACGCAGTACAGAAAGGTCGGGTTAGACACCTACCTGTTCAGGGTCAAACAGCAATTATTCCTGCTATTTTAATTTATACTCATCATTAAAACATGTATTTAAAATATCCCAACCAGGATCTAGATGTTCTGAAGCCAGGAAAAACATGTCTTACTTACTAGGTAAAGAGGTGGGTCTGAGCTGGTTTGTATCCTATCCTTGGAAGGCTAGCAATGTAATTACAGAGTGGAAGCAAATCCATAGCTTTCCTGGACATCTTCCCCTTTTGCTAAGAGTTTATACTGTAATTACACAATAGAAAGTGCCTGGACCATACACAGCCACAGAAGTGATTCTGGAGAGCTAAAACCAGATGTTAAAGCTGGTTGTGCATTTTTCTTAGAGAATTCCAGTCTTCCCCTCAGAGCATATCCTCGCAAGCTGATAAGCTGATTCACTTCATTCTCAACCTACCACTGATAGTTTTACATAATGCATTTCTCTAATCTCAAAATCTTGTTTCTTCATTTAATCTAATGGCAATAGTCTCTTGTACACTTAATAGTTATTTTACAGTAGAAACAACTTCCTGGCCTTTTTTTTTTTTTGGACTGTGCTGGGATCAAACCCAAGGACTCCCCATCTTTCAGTAATGCGCTACCACTGAGTTACACCCTCAGCCTCCAGGCAGAATAATTGCCACACACAAAACAATCCATGTATCTCCTAAGGTAATTCCTGAAGCTCTTGTTAGAATTTTTCCTTTGCCATACACACAGCATGGACTATTCAATTTCCTTCCATTGCTTTTATTTTTCCCTAGAGTCTTTTATGTTCACAAAGCCTTAACTTCCAAATTCACATCATGGCAAGACTTCAAAGGTGGCACTTTCAGAAAGACTTTGAGGCTCTGCCTCCCAAAATCTCACTCATTCAACAATCAGTGAGCATCCAATTGCCAGGCCCAGGCTGTGTGCCAGGAGCTCAGCACCAGGGGTGGGGACTGGACTCTGGATTTTGACAATTCCACTTCCTAACTGTGTCACCTGGGCACCAAACTTAGGTTCTGCACTCTCTCCCCACCAATAAAACAGGAATACTCACCACTACTTCCAAGTGTTAAAGCATTAAATGTCACAACTGTTCTCTGGCTGTATTAAGAGTATTGTAAAACTCTCAGCTAAGGACACAGCTCTTCTTGGGAAGGCCCTAATCGTTTTTCTTTTTTTGGCAGAATTTAATGCTGGATGGCTCTGTTCACTTTGTAAATGTTAACCCCCCTGCCCTGCAGTTTCTATGTCCCCTAAGGAGTCCCATCTCAAAGCCACTCTTTCTCTGGAAACTTCTTCAGGATTTCAGTTTAACACTAATGGCCTCGGAATGAGTAATGATCAACCAACCTAAGTGACTCGTTTCTTTAAAAAAAAAAAGGCCAAAGGAGTTTCAGAAAGGGTAATTTTCAAGCACATGACTTTTGTTAACGTAAGAACAACTAAGCCACCGAGGGTAGACTGTCATAGTTACAGCGCCCAGCAATAAGGAAGCCATTCGGTGTTCCATCTCCAGTTTCAGCCTGCATTTTACTGGACACATCTGGTTATGAAAGAGAGAAGATTAACTTCTTCCCTCTCATTTTTATGCCCGGCAATGCGAAAAGATTTTATCAGCTACCAGATGACTACTTACTCTGTCACATCGAAAACAGTGAGCCGTTTAGAAATTAAATAAACGCAACCTAACTAAAAACCGAGAAACTCTAGGCACCTTCCTGAGAAGCTCAGTGCAGTGGTAAGCGAGAGCACCCTGACCGCTTCCTCTTAGCACAGGCCCGGTTCCTCCCCGGAGGTCCCCGAGCGAAGCAGCCTGGAGCAAGGCGCCAAGCGCCCGAGTCCGCTCTGAAAATGGCAACCGTGCCCGCATCTCGCCCAGTTTATCCCTCCTGGCATCGCTCCGCCTCGCTCCCTAGCTATCTCTCGTCGGTCGGGAAACTTTCCAGGAGGAGGCTGCTTTTTCGAAAATGCAACAGAATTACGCCGACGGCTGGTGAGGCCCTGGGTCCTCTCAGAGGGGAGGGCAGGGGTTTGACGTTAGCGCCCGGGGACCGATCGCCGCCCCGCTCACGCCATTTCGGCCCCGGTCGGCGGCGAAGGCGCGCGGCGCTAGCGGCTAAGATGGTGCCTCCCTCCCGCTGGGGACCCACCCGACCCGGCCAGGCCCAGCCCGGCCCGGCCCTTTGTCTCCTCTCCCGCTGGAGCAGGAAGGAGCGCGGGCCCGCCGCCGCGGCTCCGAGCGCGCCTCACCTCGTCCTCCTGCTCGCTGCGGAAGCACAGGCACGCCGCCCGCTTCTTGAATCCCTCGCGGTCGTAGGTCCGCGTCTGGTTGGGCTTGAACTTCATCATAGAGGCGGGCGCCGGCGGCCGCCGCCACCCCGCCGGGCAGCGGGGCGAGGGCGAGTCGGGGCGGCGGCGCGCGAGGGGCGGCGAGGCCGGTCAGCCCCGGGGCCGTCGGCCGCTCCGATGCGGTGCGGGACGCGGGACGCGGGCGCGGGTCACTGGAGTCTGAGTGCCGGGAGGAAAGCGCCGCCGCTGCTCCGACGTCTGCCGCTCTCCATGGAGCCCGCCACCACCGCCGCCTCAGCTCCCTGCCGCTCCTGCTACTGCTGCTGCCGCCGCCTTGAGCGGAGAAAGCGCGAGGCTCACGACGCGAGGCTCGCGCAGGGAGGAGACAGTTGCGAGAAACCGCGCCGAGCCAGCAGCGGCGCCGCGACGGCTGAGCACCGCCCCCTCCGCTCTTATTTATACTGCCTCCGGCCCCGCCCCCCCCCCAACGGCGCGCGCCCTCGCGCCTGCGCGTCCCAACCTCTGCGGCGGGGAGAGGCGGTGCAGAGCGGCGAGGATGCGGCCTCGGCCTCCGGGTGGGCGGAGCCGCGTGCTCTGGGCTCGGAGTTGGCGGGACCTTGCGGCTGGTGCTCGAGCAGACTTGGGGTAACAAAGCCTTGGGCATGGACGTGCGTGGATGGAAGCCAAGCCTTGCCGCCTCCCTGGTTGAGTCCCGCGCCAGTCCCCCGGGGATCCTTGACCCCAGCGCCGTAGAGGGCGCCTGACCACCGCATCCTCCGCCGAGCAGGAAGTGCGGGCGCCTGGCGCTCACTGTGCGGCGTGGCAGGGACCCCGGAGCGGCAGGCATCCAGCTGCCCTCAGCTGCCCGTCCTGGGCCTTCTCCTGAACCCCCTTGTTTATTTCCCTGGAAGGCAAATTCTCTGTCTCTTCCCAGCTCAAGCTTCAACAAGTCTTTGCCACCACTAGAGCATCCCGCATTGTCTCACCCTCCTGGATGAGCTCAGTGTCACCTCTCAGCCCCTGCTTTTGCCCTTTAAGCGCCCAGGCAGTTTAAGTCCTGCACCAGATTGGCTTTTCACTCCTGAGGGCCTCGAGGTGCCAGGTCTGGCCTCTAACAAAAGCAGTCAAGCGCTTTCCAGGAATGTAGGACCCAAGAGCAGGCAGTCAAATGGCAATCAGGAACAGGGGCAAAAAGATGACACTTGATCTTACCTGTAATCCCCTGCACTTGAGAGACTGAAACAGGAGGATCGCTGCAATCCCTACCAAAACCTTCTGAGTACATTGGATTAGAGACATGAGCCTGTGATGTTTTTGCTTTAGAGACAGTCTCGAAATGTGGTTCAGGCAGGTCTTGAACTCACTATGATTTTTTGTTTTGTTTTTTGAGATAGAGTTTGCTTTGTAGTTCAGGCTGGACTTGAACTTGCTATATAGGCCTTTAGCTCATGTCGATCCTCCTGTCTCAATCTACGAGGCCTGGGATTGTAGTCATGTGCCACCATGCGAGCTTGGCCTTGAACTCACTGTGTAGCCCAGGCTGCTGCTCTCAAACTCACAGTGATCCTTCTGCCTCTGTGGTTTCCAGCATCTTGCACAAGGCTGACCTACAATACCACAGCAAGTCTCAAAGTGTTCTGAAACTGTAACAACACAACATGTTATTAGCAAGGTCATTTTCACTGGAACAATGTCCTTTTCTTTTCCAGTAAACACTAGAAGAGTATGGAAAGATGCTCAGAAAAAGCTCCAGATTTTTTTTTTTTTTTTGAGACAGGGTTTCAGTATGTAGCCCAAGGTGTCCTCAAACTCCTATGGACCCTCCTGCCTCAGCCTCTCTAATGTTGGAATCACAGGCGTGTGGCATCATACCTGGGAAGCTCTGGATTTGAAAAAATTTGTTATTTTATTTGAGGTGCTGGAGATTGAAGCCAGGGCCTTGTGCAACATCTCAGAGTTACACCCTGAGCCCCAAGCTCGAGATTCTAACACTATAGAGAAAAGGGATGTAACAGAAAAGAAATGCTGTAATGAATTATTTGATAATATGAGCAGTAACTTCCACTATGTATTACACTGTTTATCAGGTGTTTTGCTTGTTTGTGTTTTGCAGGCATTTGAGAGAGACTCTAACAGGCAAGGAAGGCAAGGAAGCTTTTTAGACCCAAGGAGAAGGACTCGAGAAAGACAAGGCCAGGACTTGGTCCTCCTGCGTCTGTTGCTCACTGTCAGTTAATGCAGGCCCAGCCCCAAACACCCAGTTTAGTGCCGTTTAACACGCATCACACATCGGAAGCGAGCTCTGGCTCGGTTCAGAGTTGAGATCATATCCAGCCAGATTGCATCGGAGATAGACGCTGGCTTGTTTTTCCTTGCCAGGGCCAGTAGGGACTGGGCTACACCGGCTGGATCACTCGGGGATCAGAGTCCAGTTTCAGACTAATCTCTGTTGAGTTCGTTCGCCAACGGATTGTCTTACTGGAACTGATTATCCACAGGGCTGTGGCACACATGATTTTCAAGTTTCCTAACTTTCAGAGAAGGAGAGGGACAAGCTGCCTTGCACCGGGGTGTGACGCTCATGGCACAGGCTTGCTGTCTTGTCTTGCAGGAAATCCCTTGTCTTAGTAAGGCTGTGATGATGACAGGTGACCCCTCCCGCTTGTCTTTCCAAAGAAAAATAAAAGGTACTCCTTACTGCGCATGCGCAGGATTAATACCTTCTGATTGCGGCTCACTGTCCACAGGCTGGTAACCCTAGGGCAGCTTCTGTCTTTGCAACGTGAGTTCTAAACTCCAGCATTGCACTCCTGTGACCTCTTCCTGCCCTTTCTATTATTACCTAGTGGTTAATTACTCTGTCAGTGCTGCATTCGTACACGCAAATTTCTTTTGACCCTAAAACAAAACAAAACAACAACAAAAAGAATTTAGGGCTAGGTATGGTGGTGCACACCTGTAATCCCAACACTCGGGAGGCTGAGGCAGGAGGGTTGCTGCGAGTTCCAGGACAGGCTGTGCTACATAGTGAGTCAAGACTGAACTGGACTGTATAGCAAGTCCGTGTCTCAAAAAAAAAAAAAAAAAAAATGTAATTGAACTTGGGTCGTTTTAGAGAGGGAGATCGAGGTGAGAAATGGAAGTCCGGGTTAATATTTTATTTACTCTAACTTTTTTTTTTGTACTGGAATTCAAACTCATGACCTCATGATTGACAGGCAGGCACTTACGCCACTGAGCTAAATCCCCAGCCTCACGTTTCTCTTTTACAAATGCACTGAGGAGAATGGAATGGATGAACGTTGCAAAAGGTCTTAAATTAAAAGTTTAGGGTTAAAAATTATAAAAATAGCCAATCAACCCAACTGGCATTTAAGCTTTATTACTTTGAAACTTTTAAACAAGTTTTTTGGATTTTTGAGACAAGGTCTCTTCCAGGAAGTCCTCCTATCTCAGCCCTCCCAGAGCTGGGGTTACAGGCTTGGGCCACCACGCCCAGCAGGTTTGATTCTTTATAATTGCTTTCATTGGAATAAAGAAATGATCCGGGTGTGGAGATGCACACCTATAATCCCAGAGAGGTGAGGCTGAGGCAGAAGGAGCATAAACTTTAGGCCAGCCTGGGCTACTTAGTGAGTCTCTGTCTCAGTAAAACCAAACCAAAACAAAACCCACTCTACTTTCAGATTTAAGACATTCGTATCTTCCCAGTTCCTGTTTGCTGAGCACTGGGTTTCTCAAACAGGGGCCTGGGTCGGGGGGCTGCCAGGTGTTTGTGGGACTGGGCGCTGGGCTCCTTATCACCCAGGAGGTGTCTGGCCGGTCTATCTATCACAGAGCATGAGTCTGCATTTCTACTGCCTCTGCGGCTGGCGATTGGGAAGTGCTGCTTCATTTGGAGATGGTTGTTTTTGCCACATAATTCATTTTTCATTCACAGATAAGGGCCAAAAAGAAAATGGGAAAACCTTTTGCCCATACATGACAAGTTATCCAGTAACAATACATGAACCTTTTGACAAGCTAGGTCTAATAAACGAAACAAAAAACAAAAACAAATCAAAAAGATTTAAGGACAATCTTTTGGTTCTAGATCTGTAAACCCATTGATTACTTGGACATTAGGCAACTACTATTGGTTTGGGGAGGGTGATGCTCCAAACGGAGAGTCTTTGTCTTTACAAGACCTATACTGTACTAAAGATATTTGTAGTGCTATTTCCTTCAAAATCTAGGTTTCTGGGGATGGAGGAAATGAGAGAGAATATGAAGAGATCCGATTGCCCTTGAACTGATTATTGTTGAGATTTAAGATACAGGTGCATAAGGATGCTGAGTTTTTGACACAATAAAAGAGAGAATATAAAGTTAAAAATAGCCTTTATTTTAAGGATGGGGAGAGAACTCCATGACCGCCAGAGCCTGGCTTTCTCTGCCGGAAACGAGGGGCGTGGGATATACATATAATTTCCGACTGGGGTGGCGCTTAGGATGGGCATTGCTGACGTGGAGCAGCTGATTGGAGTTTTCTTCCTGGGCAAACAGGAAGGGGAATTGCAATTAAGGCTGAGGAAGAAGCCGGAAGTGGGAGGCTTCTCGCTTGGTCTTCCGCCTCGTTAGACCACCACCGTAAGTTTTACTGAGGCAAGAACCTTTCAGATGCATTATATTTTATTATTTTACTTTATTTTAATTTATTTTTGTTTTTAGAGACAAGGTCTCACTATGTAAATTCATACTGGCCTCAGACTTGAAGCAGTCCTCCTCACTCAGCTTCCTGAGTGCTGGAATTATAAGCATGAGCTATCATACCCAAATGGATGCATTGTAATTTAAAACATATCTTTGAGATTTCTTAAAATAAAAACACTTTAAAATTTGAATTATAGAGGCAGGCATGATGGGTCATGCCTATAATCCTAGCACTCGGGAGGCTGAGTCAGGAAGATTACCAAGAATTTCAGGCCACCCTGAAAGACATAGACACTCTCAACTTCTCTCCAGCAAAAGCCCCACCTAGGATTGCATGAGGTTTTGGGGGAGATCAAGACATAAACCATAACACTCTGAGAGACCACCTAGGTGCAGGGTTCAGGAGCAAGATGCTGTAGTTATAGGCTAATCACATGCTTGAAAACCAGAATCCATAATTAAGTACAAAAGAAAATGTTTGGAACGGGGAAAAGGAACAGAAACACAAC